CAGGACGTAACAAAATTATTAAATAATATATATGATAATTATTTAATATCTCCTGATGTACTCGTATTTTCACTATTTTCATTATTCTCGCAAATATTATTGCTGCTATCTCTATCAATAATGTTGGAAATAGTATTACAAAGATATAATTTATTATTTTATACCAAAAAATTGATAGAAAAATAATTTTTTAGTATTGTATAAATAATAATGTTATATACATGTGTTATATACCTTTTTTGTAGGCAGGAATCTCTAAGAAATTCCATAGCATTGTAATGTTTCCATTTAATGTTGCTTTTGGAAGCAGATCCACTTGATAGTCTTTCAGCATTTATCAATCTTTTGTAAGTGTCGTGAAGATTCTTAAATTTATTTCTGCATTCAACTGCGCTTAATTTGCCTGAAAAAATATTCTGTTTTAACATCTTTTTTATTAATAGTAGTTTTTGTAATAGTAGACATTTATATACATTACCATTCAAAACTTTAGAAACTTCTTCCCATAAAGCTTTTGTTACCTTGCTGTTTCTTTAAACAAGAGATAATTTCGAATTCCACAAGGGTTCTCTATGTTGTATTTCTAATATTAGTACTTCCTCTTCTTCAGTTGATAATTTTTCTTTCTTAGCAGGCTGAATATTTTTTAAAATAAAAAATAGTCTATATAGTTGGCCCCCCCTCTTAACGCAAATCGTAAAAACATTTATATATTCGGATTGTACATTGTTTGTACATGAATGTACTATGATTTTTATCGTTTGTACATTTTTCGTTTATTTAAAAAAAAATTACAAAATTTTCGTAACTGTGCCAATGATAGTTAGCCCCCCTATGTCGCAATTACGTCACGTAAACTATAATTTATGAATTTATCGTGCTTAATCATTTGTACATCGTTTATACATTATTAATAATCGGTTAAATTTATAATTCCAACATTTGTTTTTGTTTAAAACGCAAGGTAATTTTTATTTGAATATGGCGGGTACGGAGCGGGTGCGCATGCGTGTGCGTGCATATGCGCGCCTGTGTAGAGACCCTAAAAAGAGAGACTCGCCAACTTGTCACGTGACTGTTAGTGGACTCTGATTGGCTGGTGTATGGATCGCACATTTGTGCCCCGTGTGCACCATAAAGGCCGGAGCACAGACTTTTACATAAAGCATAACGCATAAGCATAAGGAAAT